TTGGCAAGAAATCATGCAAGATTATGTTAGATAAATAGGAGACATAGTAGTCATCGAGTGCTCTTAGCAGCAATAATGTTCTCAAATGTTTCAATTTATTCAAGACTATGAATCTTTTTGGGAATTCAAAAAAGTGTGAAGTGAATGACAAACGACTTGCCTTCTCTAATTTTCTATCATTCATGCTACGTTCAAGATTGCAATGTATTCTCCAACAACATCTACAGGTAAATCATTTATGAGGTCATGCATCACAAACCACGATTCAACTCTACTTGATGGTTGAAAGAGTGATCTTAATAACAACTCCTAGAAATATCGGACCAGTGTCCTCTTCCATTTACTTCTTTTCATGTGACTGTTGTTGTAATAGGTCCTTAACCATTGATAATCGGACCAACTCCATTTTGTCAAATTCATAGTCTTTAGGGAACAGAGCACAATAAGCAAAGCATGGCTTTAAGTGAGAAGGAAAATGATTATAGCTCAATCTTAGAACAGGAAGAATTTCACTTCCATCTTCTGAAGAACTCCATATATTATTGTTATATATATTTTCCCACTCATCATGACCCTGCTTTCCCCGCAAGACGCCATCGAGTGATTTTAGTGCCAATGGCAATCTTTTGCACCTCTCAACAAGCTTCTCACCAATATCTTATAAGTCTAGGTATACAGCAAAGTCCTCTTTCCCCAGTGCATGTCGTGTAAATAATGGCAAACAAGCATCAACTTGTAGCAATTCTAAATTGTAAACTCCATTATCTCCTCTCATCATCATCCTAGCATCCATATTTCAAGTTGTGACAATTATTTTACTTCTAGAAGCTCCTAACATGAAAGGTCTCTTCAATTTATCCCAGTTGCCATATTCCTTAGTCCAAACATCATTCAATACAAGAAGAAATTTTGTCCAAATAACTCCTCTTTCAATTTCTTTTGAAGTGAATCGAAATAATTAAGATCACACTTTTCCCTAGTTACCTATTCTAAAATGGTTCTTGTTATTCAAGCAACATCAAACACCTCAGAAACACAAAGCCATGCCTTCAAGTCAAACCTGCCTTCCAATTTTTCGTCATTATAAATGAGCCGAGCAAGAGTTGTCTTGCCTAGTCCACCCATTCTAATGATGGGAATAACAAAGTCTTGTTCAAGACTACCTCCATCTTCTAACAACCTCTGAAGAATAGCATCTTTATCACTATCTCGACCCATCAACTCATCTTCAAAAAGAGAAGATTCAAGTAGTCTTTCTACAATTATGTGAGACTTTTTTTTATCTTCCATAGCCAAATTGATCGGGCCCAAAATATGCATTTCCTTCCCAATACGCTCCAATCTGCTAGCTATATCCTTGAACCTTTTCAACCTATGACTAATCTCTCCATTGGGCATAGCCAAAGATCTAAATAAATTTTGGAGACTAGATTTGACTTTCTGTCCCTTGTTGGTGCTAGCTTTAGATTTTGCAGTCAATTTGGACCTCTTGGCATCAATCACAAACTCTTCAAGTAAGTCCTCCATATCATAAGCCAAGTTCCTGAGATCATCAAGACATGACTTTATGACTGGTTGGCAACTTGATTTTCTTCTACATGTTGAAGTACAACAATGATTTTGGGCAAAAAAGTCTTCCAACTCTCCATTTGAGCAAGTACTTCCTCCTTTGAATTCCATAGTTGATCAGTTAGATATCCAACCAACTTTTTGAGTAGCAAGTCAAATGTAAAAGATAAAAGTGAACATCCAACAAGAGAGAAGACCTCCATTGCATGAAATAGCTTTTCCGCAAAAGAGAGAGAAACGGATTGAAGTACAAATTAACTAAACTAATCTATTGAATATCTCACATACTTTGATTATCATCAAATTAGTCTTTAATCCTAATGGATTGATTTAATCAGTATTGAAAATAGCAAGATGATATAAAGAAAACAATCAAAACATATACCATAGAGTTTGATTTAGATCTTCAATGAATTGAATAAGTAAAAATATTAATTAGAAAGTACTGGTATATATATACATACCTTAATTAGCTATGCTGCAGTTGCTTTTCCTTTCCCGGTGTTGCTCAAACCAAAAAAAGTTGTTGGGTTTTGTAGAGAGATTAATTAAGCTTAATTTGATAGAATATACAGTTTGTGTCAAGCAAATGAAATATTGTACTTGAAAGAAATAATAAAACAACAGTTATGAAAGAAAATTTAGTTATCATCATCAAGGTTGTCAAATTTGAGTGC